CTTCTCCCCCACCCCGAAGATGACTACTCTTCGGGTGCTGCTGCACATAGCCGCTCACCGCGACTACGAGCTTCACTCTCTTGACTTCAGCACTGCTTTCTTGCAGGGCAGCCTGCACGAGGAGATCTGGCTGCGCCGCCCCCCTGGCTTCACTGGGTCAGTTCCTCCTGGCACCCAGTGGAGGCTTCAGCGGCCGGTCTACGGTCTCCGCCAGGCGCCACGTGAGTGGCACGACACACTGAGGACGACACTTGCGGCTCTTGGGTTCGCTCCCTCTACTGCTGACCCGTCGCTGTTTCTACGCACCGACACCTCGCTGCCGCCGTTCTACATCCTCGTGTACGTCGACGACTTGGTCTTTGCCACTGCTGACACCGCGGCACTCGCCCACGTGAAGTCGGAGCTGCAGAGGAGACACACGTGCACAGACCTGGGTGAGCTGACGAGCTATCTTGGCTTGCGGATCACCCGGGACAGAGCACGGCGCACCATCACCCTGACTCAGTCACACATGGTGCAGCAGGTTCTCCAGCGCTTCCGCTTCACGTACTCCTCGCCTCAGTCCACTCCTCTGCCTACCGGTCACTCGCTCTCAGCTCTGCCTTCGGATGAGTCCGTAGAGCCGAGTGGCCCGTATCCAGAGCTTGTGGGCTGCCTCATGTACCTGATGACCTGCACTCGACCTGACCTTGCATACCCTCTTAGCATCCTAGCACGCTATGTCGCTCCTGGCCGTCACCGGAAGGAGCACATGGATGCTGCTAAGAGGGTGTTGCGCTACTTGTGCAGTACGTCGGGCATGGGGCTTGTGCTTGGAGGGCGAGACCGGGTTGTTCTCACAGGGCACTCAGACGCTTCTTGGGCAGACGACCAGGCTACTCAGCGGTCGTCCCAGGGTTACACCTTCAGCCTTGGCTCTGGCTCAGTTTCTTGGCGTTCTACTCGCTCTTCTTCTGTTCTCAGCTCCAGTTGTGAGGCTGAGATCTACGCCACAGCCATGGCTGCTCAGGAGCTACGCTGGCTGACCTACCTGCTGACCGACCTCGGAGAGCGGCCTCGTTCTCCTCCAGTGCTGTACGTCGACAACAAGGCTGCCATTGCCTTGTGTGAGGAGCACAGACTAGAGCACAGAACGAAGCACATCGCTCTGCGGTACTTCCTTGCTCGAGAGCTGCAGCAGCGTGGTCAGCTTTGTCTGCGTTACGTGGCCACGGAGGCCAACACTGCTGATGTGTTCACCAAGGCGCTTCAGCCTTGTGACCATCAGCGCTTTTGCACTCTGTTAGGCCTTGTACCTACTGGGCCTCACTTGCTTACCTCTTGACCTTGCTTGTACTGTGATCACTATATATATATCCCTACTTGTTTACTTTTGCTAGGTTGTGATCACTGTATCTCTTGCTTTGTTATAAACCTGCATGTGAACTGGTCTTGTGACCGCTTGCTTGTGCTCGGAATTTGTGTGGAATCCTTGAGATCCACCCTGAGCTTGCTTTGCTTTGCTTTGACTGGTCTTGTGACCCTGTGGTTGTCTCCCACTGCACCTATGGGGGTGTGTCAAACATTGCATGTTTATATTGTCTAGGCTGTAGTGGGTTACACCTTAGGGGGTACACAAAGTTAGGGTTTCCTACTTGTACCAAACTCTGTTCTAGTTCATTCATTCCTGCTCAGTTATTTCTGACAACAGTCACCTCGATGTGGCTGGCTCGGCATGTCACTGTTACCGAATCTAGAATTCCAGATTCTCGCGCCCAGCACATGGCATCACGTCCGTTACGAGCCTGGAAACTGGGACGACTTCCGTCAGGATAGACGTTCTCGCTACTAGGTGTTGCCAAGTGTTGCTACGACCCATAAATAGAAATACGCTACTAGGGGATCTTCAATAAAGAAAAAAAACTAAAATAACAAATTCGATGCACATGTATGGGATTCACAATGAATGTTATCCTCAAGCATACTGTTTAGGGTTTCACTGTTTCCAGTGGTCATAGCTATAATTGTAAAAATTTATCATTTATGCACGAAACGGCATGTATACATTTTGTTACGAAAGCAACGAATGAAGAATACAGTGCACTCCCGTTCACAGCTGAGGAAGCGCGGAGTATCGAGAACAATACGAAGAGTCAGAATTGACTCGAAACGTCAGACGGTTAGGATGCATCTGGACCGTCGGAGCAGGTGGCATCGGGCAGCTCTAGGCGCGAAGGTTTTGACGGGAACGGTTTCGTAACTGTACGCGCCGCACGGTTGGAATGAATTTGAATATGGGAATGCACCCCTTAGAGTACCTATAGAGATTGCATGTATATATAAATTTATATATATAACTTATATATACACCTCTCTCTATATGTGTATAAAAAATTTATATATACATGCAGTCTAAAGGGGTACATTCCCATATTCAAATTCATTCCAACCGTGCGGCGCGTACAGTTACGAAACCGTTCCCGCCAAAACCCTCGCGCCTGCAGCTGCCCGATGCCACCTGCTCCGATGGTCCAGATGCATCCTAACCGTCTGACGTTTCGAGTCAATTCTGACTCTTCGTATTGTTCTCGATACTGCGTGCTTCCTCAGCTGTGATCGGGAGTGCACTGTATTCTTCATTCGTTGCTTGCGTAACAAAATGTATACATGCCGTTTCGTGCATAAATGATAAATTTTTACAATTATAGTGTTAACAGGACTAAGCAAGAATGTATGAAAGGAGAGGGGTTTCACTAGCAGCAGTTGGGGTACATGTCAGAATGCTATTATTGTCTAGCCTGCAGTGGGGTACTCTATAGCGAGTACAGCCCAATCTAGGGTTTGCTATTTGTACTCAACTGCCTGCTAGTTCAACCCCTCTCCTTTCATTCATTCTTGCCTAGTGATTCTGACATGCTATCAGAGCAGGTCGACCCTCCTGGGTCGATCCTGTGGGTGGGCCCACCACCTAAGCCTTCCGCTGCTACTGCTACTGCTACTGCTACTCCCTGTCCGCCGCGCGCCCCGTGGCGCGCGGCGTCGAAACTAGGGTTTTCAGCCCGCCGTGCGCCCCGAGGCACGCGGCGGTTTTCTGCCCGCCGTGCGCCCCGAGGCGCGCGGCGGTTCTCTGCCCGCCGTGTGCCCCGAGGCGCGCGGCGGGTTCCTGCCCCGTCACTCGGCACGTCGCCCCCGGGAGGCGCTGCGACGGGCGACGGGGACCCGCGCGTCGCCCCCCGTCGCCCGTCGTGGCCTGCGCGCGGCCCGTACACCCGGCACGCGGCCCGTACGGGCTGCGCCAGGCCTGCGCGCGGCCCGTACGGGCTGCGCCAGGCCCGCGCGCGGCCCGTACGGGCTGCGCCAGGCCCGCGCGCGGCCCGTACGGGCTGCGCCAGGCACGCGCGCGGCCCGTACGGGAAGCGCCAGGCCCGCGCGCGGCTCGGGCCGCCTGCGCGCGGTTCGGGCGGCTCTACCAGGCCCGTGGGCGGCCCGTTCCTCGCTGCTCCTGCCCTCTCCACTGTCCCCCGTGCTTCTACCGGCGCCTCACCCCTCCTACAGCCCGTTCTCCTAAATTAGGGTTTGGGGGTGAAGAGTGTGGGGGTGGCGGCTATGGGGGTGTCGGTTGTGAGTTCCTCCCCCTGCTCCTCCTCCTCCCTCGTCTCCCTCTGCTACAGCTGCCGCTGAGGGGGGTGGTGTGTGGGAGCCTAGGGTTTGGGGTTTAAGGGGGGTACCGTCGGAGTGGAGCTAGGGTGTCAGCAGGGGGTGTGTGAGAGGGGCGTGGGACGGTCGGGGGAGATTGCGTGGAGGTAGCCGTCGTGACGCCAGCAGCGCCAGTAGTCCGGATGCCCTCGCGCGTTTCGGTAGCCCAGCGAGCCTGCTTCGCCAGTCGCCTGTGGGTCCGTTGCTCCTGTGTGTGCTCGTCGTAGCCGCGGAGCCAGATACTCCCGTAGTCCGGTGCCCTCGTGCGCTCGGTAGCCACTGTGCGCGCCGCTCCTGTTGCCCGTGTGTCTGCAGCTTCAGTCGGCGCCTTTCATCTTCTCTCCTCTCGCCAGCCCTCCTCCTCCTCGCTTGCCCTCTGTGACTGCCTCTAGCTTTGCTCATAACTGTGAACTTTAAACTATTGCTTCTTGAACTTGTGCTCAGAATGTGTGGTGACATTGTGATCCACCCTGAGCTTGTACTGCTTTGCTTGCTCTGCTGATTACACCCCACTTTGGCTATGGGGGTGTGTCAGAATGCTATTATTGTCTAGCCTGCAGTGGGGTACTCTATAGCGAGTACAGCCCAATCTAGGGTTTGCTATTTGTACTCAACTGCCTGCTAGTTCAACCCCTCTCCTTTCATTCATTCTTGCCTAGTGATTCTGACAGTACATATAGCAAACCCTAACTGGGTTGTACTCGCTATAGAGCACCCCACTACAGGCTAGACAATAATAACATTCTGACACACCCCCATAGCCAAAGTGGGGTGTAATCAGTACAATGAGCAGGCATAGCAGTAGTTCACAATTATAAGCAAAGCTAGAGGTGATCATAGAGGGCAAGTGAGGAGGAGGAGAAACTGTGAGGGCGAGAAGATGAAAGGCGCCGACTGAAGCTGCAGACACACGGGCAACAGGAGCGGCGCGCACAGTGGCTACCGAGCGCACGAGGGCACCGGACTACGGGAGTATCTGGCTCCGCGGCTACGACGAGCACACACAGGAGCAACGGACCCACAGGCGACTGGCGAAGCAGGCTCGCTGGGCTACCGAAACGCGCGAGGGCATCCGGACTACTGGCGCTGCTGGCGTCACGACGGCTACCTCCACGCAACCTCCCCCGACCGTCCCACGCCCCTCTCACACACCCCCTGCTGACACCCTAGCTCCACTTCCACGACACCCCCCTTAAACCCTAAACCTCGGCTCCCACACATCCACCCCCCTCAGCGGCAGCTGCAGCAGTGGGAGACGGAGGAGGAGGAGGAGCAGGGGACGGCGCACACACACGGCACCCCCATAGCTGCCACCCCCACACTCCTCACCCCCAAACCCTAAAAACGGGCGGAACGGGGGAAGGAGCGCGGGGGACGGCGAGGGGGACGGCGCTCGGCCCCCAGGACGCCACCACGGGGCAGCGAGGGGCCGCGCGCGGCTCCCCAGGGCGGCGCGACGGGAAATCGGGGCCGCGGGGGGTCGCGCGCGGCTCCCCAGGGCGGCACGACGGGAAATCGGGGCCGCGGGGGGTCGCGCGCGGCTCCCCAGGGCGGCACGACGGGAAAACGGGGCCGCGGGGGGTCGCGTGCGGCTCCCCAGGGCGGCACGACGGGAAATCGGGGCCGCGGGGGGTCGCGCGCGGCTCCCCAGGGCGGCGCGACGGGAAATCGGGGGGGGGGGGGGGGGGGGGGGGGGGGGGGGGGGGGGGGGGGGGGGGGGCCGCGGGCGACGGGATCGCGGGGCCGCGGGCGTCGGGATCGGAGGGCCGCGGGCGACGGGATCGGGGGGCCGCGGGCGTCCCCCACGGTAGGAAACCGCCGTGCGCCTCGGTGCGCACGGCGGGGAGAAAACCGCCGCACGCCCCGAGCGCGCGGCGGGATGAAAAATCCGTCGCACGCCACGGGGCGTGCGACACAAAGAGTAGTAGGAGCAGCGGAAGCAGGTGGTGGGGCCCACCCACAGGATCGACCCATCTGGATCGTCCTGCTCTGATAGCATGTTAACAGGACTAAGCAAGAATGTATGAAAGGAGAGGGGTTTCACTAGCAGCAGTTGGGGTACATATAGCAAACCCTAACTGGGTTGTACTCGCTATAGAGCACCCCACTACAGGCTAGACAATAATAACATTCTGACATATAGCTATGACCACTGGAAACAGTGAAACCCTTAACAGTATGCTTGAGGATAACATTCATTGTGAATCCCATACATGTGCATCAAATTTGTTATTTTAGTTTTTTTTCTTTATTGAAGATCCCCTAGTAGCGTATTTCTATTTATGGGTCGTAGCAGCACTTGGCAACACCTAGTAGCGAGAACGTCTATCCTGACGGAAGTCGTTCCAGTTTCCAGGCTCGTAACGGACGTGACGTGATGCCATGTTTTGGGCGCGAGATTCTGGAATTCTAGATTCGGTAACAGTGACATGCCGAGCCAGCCACATCGAGGTGACTGTTTACTTCGAGAGGTTAAAACAGTGTTCAGCGAATGGTTTTTTGCCATGTGCACCAATGAGCAGCGGACTGCGTAGAAATCTTGCTAACTCTGCGTCAGAATCGACAAACAGCCCAAACACTGCGCCAGAGGCTATAGATCTGCGTTCCGATCGAAAAGTTACAGTAACAATGCGCTCTCAACTCAAAACCATTTTTCTGCTGCTATGCCTGTAGGCCCTGTAGTCTTTGTGTCGTGCCGAAGGTTCTCCAGAATGGCCCTCGCATAAACGGGAAAAGGGAAAATCCCAGGTTTGCAAATCGGTCAATTCCACTGGCATTCAGATTTTGCCAGTGCAGGTACTGTATTCGATTGTATGCAATTGACGGAATCGGAGGAAACATTTCGGCCCGGCTGAAAAACCACGGGGTTATCCGTGTTTAGGGTTGAGGCTCCCCATTCGAATGTCATTGGAATGGGGTTTTTTTTTCAGACCGCGGGCAGTTAACGGTTCTACAGCGCCAATCCTGACGGTCCCTTAGCAAATCCGACCGACACTTGTTGGACATCACGGGTCACACACACAACCATTTCCCGCTTTGTCCTGATCCTCACACCCTCGGGGTTTCACCAGCAATCCACAGAGAACATCAGCTGCCAAAGCTGAAACCCTAAGCGGTTATCCTACCAGGCTGTTAGCTGCAAAATCATGCGCGAAAGCGAACTCTTATTTTCTTCGACGAACACTTCTGCCTTGCAGCAGCTGAACTCCTCTGCCCACAGATTGCTCACTCGACAACTTTCACATCCGGACGCTCACAGACCGTAGTACTTGCCACCACGCCTCGTAGATTTGCCTACGACAGCGCCATCCCTGTTGCGTAGCGCATTAAATATACGTCCAATTTATCCACCACTGTCATTCGGCGCGGCTACGACCAAGATATACGTCTACCACAAATTGGATAGTTCGCCTTCCTCTCGGAATAACGTGAATTACGCTTTGACGAAGCGCCTCTCCACCCCCATCTGATCCAGTGAGTTTAGGCTCCTCACCATGTCTCATTCCGCATATCGAAAGCCCGCGAAACTGATGGTTGCATGCGTAGGCTCCAGATCGTGCACTACGTAGGCACCGCTTCGTGCCTGAATTGTGACCGCCAAAAATGCTTTGAAATTGACATCCGCATGCATTTCAGATCCGTGTCGCCCATCTGCTCGCTCCACACAGCCAACCCCATACTATGCATATGTATTGCGCCCTCGTTGCGACCCCCGTCGCCCATGCAACCCCTCTCACGCGCCGTCCTTTCACCATCCCGTTCTCCAATCCTCTTCTCATCGCATTCTCCCTTCCGCATCTCCTCCCGTCCCCTCCTCATCATTTCCTCTCGTTTCCCCTTCCCCTTCTTCTCCCGTCCGTCCATCCTCATCTCCTCCCCTTCTCCCTTCCGCATCTCCTGCCCTCTTCCCCTCCTCGTTTCCTCCCGTATTCCCTTCCCCTTCTCCTCCCGTCCACCCATCCTGATCCCATCCCATTCTCCCGTCCGCCCAACTCTCTTTCCCCCTGCTCATTCTCTTTCCCCCTGCTCAATCTCTTTCCCCCTGCCCACTCTCTTTCCTCCTGCTCACTCTCTTTCCCCCCTCCTCACTCTCATTACCTCTGCTCGCTCTCTTCCCCCCTGCTCGCTCTCTTCCCCCCTGCCCGTTCTCTTACCCCTGCTCACTCTCTTTCCCCCTGCTCGTTCTCTTTCCCCCTCCCTTCTCACTCTCCTCCCCCCTGCTCACTCTTTCCCTCTGCTCACTCTCATTCCCCCTTGCTCGATCTCTCCCCGCCTGCTCACTCCGTCTTCACAGCCAGGCTCTTCACAGCCAGGCTCGTCACAGCCAGGCTCGTCACAGCCAGGGTCCCTGCCTCTAGTTGACATGCAAGCTTCAGCCTGGGTCGGACCGACTGGCACACCAGTGACCTGTGAGATGAGTCTTCTTTGCCACGATGAGACCACACAGTTCGAATACAGTTACGTGCCTGGCAATGGCAATTCTGCTGTATTTCGCACCCCCATCCCCATCAGCAGTCAATTGCCGCCATCGCACCCCGTCGGCTCTTTTGCCAACCCTCCACGCCCAATCTTTGCCGAACCTCCACGCCCAACCTTTGCCGAACCTCCACGCCCACCCTTTGCTGAACCTCCACGCCCACCCTTTGCCAACCCTCCACCACCACCCTTTACCAACCCTCCACGACCACCCTTCGCCGAACCTCCACGCCCACCCTTTGCCAACCCTCCACGCCCACCCTTTACCGACCGACCACCCTTCGCCGAACCTCCACGCCCACCCTTTGCCAACCCTCCACGCCCAACCTTTCCCAACCCTCCACGCCCACCCTTCACCGACCCTCCATGCCCACCCTTTACCGACCCTCCACGCCCACCTCTGCTAACTAATGGCTCCATTGCTGACCATCCACGCCCTCCTGCGCTGCCCAACGGCTCTATTCCCAGCGAGCCCCCCAGTGCAAGCAGAGGCCCATCTAGAACCAACCCAATGTGGAACGACGACCTCACAGCAGACCTCCTCCGCTGTGTCATAGCGGCCATGAGGGATGCAGGCAGGGCTACCTTTGCCAAAGTGCAGTGCTGGGACGCTGTGTTCGCCCGATGGAATGCTCAGCATGCCGACTTGTGCTTCACGGAAGCACAGCTGCGAAACCGGCTCCAATTGGTGAAGATGTGGGTGAAAGACATTAGGCAACTCAAGTCAAGGGTCCGCCCGGGAGTGAATTGGGACCCCGCTACCGATCACTTCGACCCGCATAGCATGGTAAGCCTCCTATGCGGCACTGCCTGTCTCCTTGTGTTGACAGTGACTCTCAACTTGAAGAGGGCATTTAAAATTTTGTACCTACCACTCTCCTCCCATTCCCTTATCGTGCAGGTTCGTGATACTGATAATATCACCAAGGACGGTAAATGGGATGATTATAAACGGTGGGTCTACCGCACCGCACCGTGGCTTAGCCTTGGCGAGCAGGTTGTACCCAAATCCAGGTTGCGTGGCAGCAGCTACGCATTCGCGACAACAGGGGATGGCGACAGGTACTACTCAGACGGCCCAGGTGGAGACGATCTCTCGAGTGGGGATGAAGTGGCGGATGCAGCGCATAATAGAGGTCGGCAGCGTCGCCGCCTGGGACTTGAGCAGAGCAGTCCTCACCCGTCTGTGCCTGCGAGTGCCCCGGGATCCCATCTGCCTGCATCTGCATCCCTCGCACCTGCAGCATCCCCAGTTCCCCCACACGCTGCATCCCCACCCCCCGCTCCTGCTGCAGGCCCCACTACCGCACCCGCTGCACTCCCGTCCATTGCAAGTAGAGGCCCAGCTAGAACCACCGCCACTGGCACAAGGTCAATCCCAATGTGGACTGATCACCTTACAGCCGACCTCCTCCGCTGCGTTATTGCGGCCATGCGGGATGCAGGCAGGGCGCCCTTTGCCAAAGTGCAGTGCTGGGACGCCGTGTTCGCCGGATGGAATGCTCAGCATGCCGAGTTAAACTTCACAACGGAGCAGCTGCGAAACCGGCTCAACACGGTGAAGGCGTGGGTGAAAGACATCAGGCAACTCCAGTCGTGGGTTCGAGAAGGTGTGAACTGGGACCCTGCACGCAACTTCTTCAACCCGAGTATCATGGTATGTGGGAGTCATTTTTGAGTTTTTTCACAAAGTAAGCCTCCTAGGCAGGCACTGCCCGTCTCCTTGTGTTGACATTGAAATACAACTTGAAGAGAGCGGTTAGATATTCTTTTTACACACCCTCTCCTCCCCATTCCCATATCATGCAGGTTCGTGATGTCGATATCCCTCCGCGTAAATGGGATGATTATAAGCGGTGGGTCACTCACACCGCACCGTGGCTTAGCCTTGGCGAGCGGGTGTCTCGTCATGGCAGCCACGCATGCACGACAGGCGATGGCGACAGGTATCACTCAGACGACCCGGGTGAATGCGACCTCTCGAGTGGGGATGAAGCAGCAGCAAGCCCCACCAATCCTGCACCTGAAGCATCCCCCGACCGCGCACAGCCCGCCCTCCCCCCTTATGCCTTCCCCTCGCCCTCCCTCCATCCGCCCCCCCTTGATCTCCCGGCAGCCCCCCCACGCGCGAACACCTACGAGCTTGAGTTGCTGGGCAATGGCTCGACAGGGAGGGGCGGTGCCGCACTCGCAGGCACGGGCACGGGCACGGGCACAGGTACAGGCACGGGCACAGGCACGGGCACAGGTACAGGCGCGGGCACAGGCACAGGTGCAGGCACGGGCACAGGCACGGGCGCAGACACGGAGTTGCATGAACGGCGGGAGCGGTGGGAACAGGCATTGCAAAGTGGCAAGTGGCGGGCGATGTGGGATGACGAGCAGACAACAGCTCTTTTGGAGATCATGCGCGATGTGCTGCGTGCTCAGGGCAGCGCCCTCCCCGGCCGGATCAAGGACTGGGGGGCGGTGCACCGCGAGTGGTTGCGGCGGGGGTTACCGCGGTACTCAAAGAAGCAGCTGAGGATTCGGTGCAGTTCGGTGCGCGGGTGGGTGAAGGATATCCAGTTTCTGCAGGAGCTGCTGCCGCCTGAAGTCACCTGGGACCCCACCACTCAGTGCTTCAACGCCGACCCTGAGGTGAGGTGGTGAGAGGGCGAGGTGAGGCGGTGAGAGGGCCCAATGTGAGATGGTGAGGTCAAAGGCCGAGCGGCACACGACAACGACCACACTCCTTCACTCCGTTGCTCCTATTCCCCTTACCCTCCTTACCCCTCTTTCCCCGCTCCCTCCACCCCCTACCGCCCTTTCTTCAGCTGGGCATCAGCCTGTGGCTGAAGCAACATGGGCGGTGGGAGCACTACAGGCGGTGGTGCACGCACACGGCGCCCTGGCTGCCGCTCGCGCTGCTCAACGTACACACTTGCCCTGCTGAGGTGGAGTGGGAGGAGGACGAGGAGTGGGAGGAGGACGAGGAGGAGGAGGATTGGGGAGAAGGGGAGGGAGAGGAGGATGGGGAAGAGGAGGAAGATGATGTGGTTGAGGTGCAGGCAGGTGGGGAGGGGAATGGGGATGCGGAGGATGAGGTAGAGGAGGGGGAGCGGGGAGAGGGATGGGGCGATGGGAGCCGACTGCGGCGAGTGGCGGGGAGGTATAGGCGTGGATCAGGGAGGATTGTGAGGCGGCGGAGAGACAGAGAGGGGGTGGAGGCACGGGGAGCAAGTGGAGAGCGGTGGCGGGGTGGAGAGTTGGATGGTGATGAGTGGTTGGGGACGTGGAGGATGGATGCGTTTCAACAGGCTGCACAGGGAGGGGCCATGAGGAGCAGAGAGGGACAAGAGGGTGTGGAAGAGAGAGGGGTTGGGAATGTTGGGGTCGACCGTGCAGCTGACGCTCCTCGGGTCAATGGTGTTCCGCGTGCTGAGGTGGTACGTAACAATGTCACCTTTGCTGATGTGGCTCGTGCTGCTGACGTGGCTCGAGCTGACGTGGCGTGTGCTGATGTGGCTCGTGTGGGTGAGACTGGTGGTGCAAGTGCGGATGAGAGGGACGAGTACCCTGCGAGGCTGGCAGCGCGGATCGCTGGGATGGCAGCGAGCAGGAGTGAGCAAGGCGGAACAGAGAGGCTCAGGGATGAGGGCGATGGGGATGGAGGAGGAGGAAATGCCAGTGCACGACGGGGGGATGGGGATTCTGAGGGGGAGAATGGGGTGGGGGAGAGGCAGGGAAGAGAGAGAAGGGAGGAGAGGAGAGGGGGGAGGGGTGTAAAGCGGTCAAGGCCGGTGTGGTTGCAGGTGAGGGAGAGGCAGCGGCAGCGGCGGGTGATGGAGAGTGTGGCGCGTGCCGTCAAGTGCATGGCGGAGAAGGGGCAGCCGCACGTGCACAGAGGTAGGTGGTGAGAAGGCACACATGCTCAGAGGTAGCTGATGAGAAGGCGCACATGCTCAGAGGTAGGTGAAGATGAGGCACACATGCTTAGGGATGGGATGGGATGGGATGGGATGGGATGGGATGAGATGGGATGGGATGGGATGGGATGGGATGGGATGGGATGGGATGGGATGGGATGGGATGGGATGGGATGGGATGGGATTGGGATGGGATGGGATGGGATGGGATGGGATGGGATGGGGTGGGGTGGGGTGGGATGGGATGGGATGGGATGGGATGGGATGGGATGGGATGGGATGGGATGGGATGCGATGGGATGCGATGCGATGCGATGGGATGGGATGGGATGGGATGCGATGCGATGCGATGTGATGTGATGTGATGTGATGTGATGTGATGTGATGTGAAGGCACACCTTTCTTCCAATGTCAAATTTGTCCAAGATCAGAGTAACAATTGCTGGAGCCAAGCAGATATGGCGGGATATCTGATGTCAAAATGAGGAACATGAAAATATTAACAGTAGCTATAATAATTTAAAAAAAAAAACCCTTGTTACTCCCTTCCTACCGCTCCCTTCTAACCCCTATCACCGTCAGAAGCGGTGGCAGACAGTGTGTTCAAGACGTGCAAACATCGCCCTCATTCTTATTGAGAGAGAAATAGATTCTACTGAGATCACCTGACTTAGCTCGTTCTATTCTTCGCTGATCTATGCTTAGGCTAGGTAGGGACTGAGTAAGCAAGGAAATTACATTCCAAGACTGAGCGTACGCGCGTTTCGGCACAATGACCTTCGTCAGCACGGTGTGTCCAAGTCGGTACAAAGTTTGTCCTGTCGAGCTCCTTCTGAGCCATCTGAGAACACAGCTTTGGCAAACCCTTCTCTCCCCACCCCCCCCCCCACCAGACGCGGTAGCTGACAGTGTGTTCAAGTCCGTGCAGGACGTGCAGGCCCTCCCCTCGCTGACGGACGCGCAGCGCGTGGCGGCCATCGACGCCTTCCTGCAGCGCCCCCTCGACGCCCACGCCTTCCAGGCCATGAGCCCCGCCCTGCAGACCCTCTTCGCCCGCCGCGCCCACGCCCAAGCCGTTGACCGCCAGCTCGCCGGGATTCAAGCTGCTGCTGCTGCTGGGGGGGGGAATGCGCCCCTCACAGACCAGCAGCTTGGGGGGCTGCCAGGTGTGGCTGGGGATGCTGGTGTGGTGGGGGGGACTGCGGGGGTGGGAACGGCGGGGTTGGGAACGGTGGGGGTGGGAACGGCAACGGCGGGGGTGGGGATGGCGGGGGTGGGAACGGCGGGGATGGGGACGGTGGGGGTGGGAACGGTGGGGTTGGGCATGGGGAGTACAGGAATGGGGGCAATGGGAAGAGGGGGGACGAGCATGGTGGGAACGATAACAGGGGGAACATGGATGGGGGAAACAGGATTCGGTTCGAGGGGATTGGGGACGGTGGGGCAAACGGGGGCAGTGGGAAGGATGGCAGGAGGTGGGGGTGTGGCAGGAGGTGGGGGTGTGGCAGGAGGTGGGGGTGTGGGTGTGGGAACGGCAGCAGCAGACACTGCAGGTACTGCAGGTGAAGGGAGGGACGTACAAGGTGTGGGAGGGATGGGAGGGGGAGTAGGGGAAACCGGGGCGGCAGCAGGGGCAAGAGGAGCAGGAGGGGCGGGCGGCACACAAGGGGCGGGCGGCATGGCAGGGCTGCAGCTGCTGGGGCCTCGCGTGCAGGAGTTGATGCAGGAGTTGGTTCGAGAGATCCTGGGAGCAGTCAATGCGAGTCAACAGATGGCCAGCACCGGTCAACAGGCAGTCAATGCTGGTCAAGGGGCGGTCAATGCAGGGCACACGAGGTCAACTGGCAATCCAGTGGTGGTCAACGGGAATCGATGCGAGTGCCATGAGTGTGTGGCTGCTAGATTGGCGATCAGAACACGTGAAGGCGCAGTCAATGCGGGTCAAGATGGAGTCAATGCGAGTCAACCAGTGGTCAATGCGGATCCAAGGAGGGAAGTGGTAGCGAATCAAGTGGAGGCAGCTGTCGGCCAATCAGGGTTAGGTGCAGGTCGTGTGGGGACGGCTGCTGTGCTAGAGACAAGGAATGCTGGTCAAGCACCAGTCAATGCGGGTCAAGCAGCAGTCAACGCCAGTCAAGCACGAGTCAACGCTGGTCAAGCACGATTAAACACTGGTCACACAACAGTCAACGCCAGCCAAGCACGAGTCAACACTGGTCACGCAGCAGCCAACGCGGGTCAAGCACGAGTCAATGATGGTCAAGCACCAGTCAACGTGGGTCAAGCAGCAGTCAACGCTGGTCAAGCACGAGTCAACGCTGGTCTAGCACGATTAAACACTGGTCACACAACAGTCAACGCCAGCCAAGCACGAGTCAACACTGGTCACGCAGCAGCCAACGCGGGTCAAGCACGAGTCAACGATGGTCAAGCACCAGTCAACGCGGGTCAAGCAGTAGTCAACGCTGGTCAAGCACGAGTCAACGATGGTCTAGCACGATTAAACACTGGTCGCACAACAGTCAATGCCGGTCAAGCACGAGTCAACGCTGGTCAATCACGAATTAATGCTGGCCAAGCACGAGTCAATGCTGGTCATGCAGCAGTCAACCCTGGTCACGCAGCAGCCAACGCCAGTCAAGAACGAGTCAACGCTGGTCAAGCAACATTCAATGTTGTTCAAGCACCAGTCAACGCTGGTCACGCACCATTCACTGCTGGTCAAGCACTGGTCAACGCTGGTCAACCACCATTCAACGCGTTTCAAGCACTGGTCAACGCTGGTCAATCACCATTCGCTGCTGGTCAAGCACCAGTCAACGCTGGTCAAGCACCATTCACTGTTGGTCAAGCACTGGCCAACGCTGGTCAAGCACCAGTCAACGCTGGTCAAGCACCAGTCAATGCTGGTCAAGCACTATTCAACGCTGGTCTATGGGCTGCTAGTGCAGGTGTAGGGGTGGGCCAAGGCAGAGCAGAGGGAGGAGGGGGAGGAGGGGGAGATGGGGTATGGAGGGACGCAGCGATCCTACGGCTGCTGCTGAAGCTGCTGCAAGGCCAGGCGAAGGAAACAGGTGGGGCTGTGGCGCGGGGACAGGGGGAGAATGGCGGGCAAAGAGGGGAGCAGGGAGGGCAGCAGCGAGGGGAGCAGGGAGGGCAGCAGCGAGGGGAGCAGGGAGGGGAGCAGGGAGGGGAGCAGGGAGGGTTAGGTGCTGGTGGTGTGGGAGCAGCTGCTGTGCTGCAGACAAGATATGCTGGTCAAGCACCAGTCAACGCTGGTCAAGCACCAGTCAACGCTGGTCAAGCACCAGTCAACGCTGGTCAAGCACCAGTCAACGCTGGTCAAGCACCAGTCAACGCTGGTCAAGCACCAGTCAACGCTGGTCAAGCACCAGTCAACGCTGGTCAAGCACCAGTCAACGCTGGTCAAGCACCAGTCAACGTTGGTCAAGCACCAGTCAACGCTAGTCAAGCACCAGTCAACGTTGGTCAAGCACCAGTCAACGTTGGTCAAGCACCAGTCAACGTTGGTCAAGCACCAGTCAACGTTGGTCAAGCACCAGTCAACCTTGGTCAAGCACCAGTCAACGCTGGTCAAGCACCAGTCAACGCTGGTCAAGCACCAGTCAACGCTGGTCAAGCACCAGTCAACGCTGGTCAAGCACCAGTCAACGCTGGTCAAGCACCAGTCAACGCTGGTCAAGCACCAGTCAACGCTGGTCAAGCACCAGTCAACGCTGGTCAAGCACCAGTCAACGCTGGTCAAGCACCAGTCAACGCTGGTCAAGCACCAGTCAACGCTGGTCAAGCACCAGTCAACGCTGGTCAAGCACCAGTCAACGCTGGTCAAGCACCAGTCAACGCTGGTCAAGCACCAGTCAACGCTGGTCAAGCACCAGTCAACGTTGGTCAAGCACCAGTCAACGTTGGTCAAGCACCAGTCAACACTTGTCAAGCACCAGTCAACGTTGGTCAAGCACCAGTCAACGTTGGTCAAGCACCAGTCAACGTTGGTCTATGGGCTGCTAGGGACAGGGGACAGGGAGGGGAACAGGGAGGGGGACGGGTAGAGGGGCAGGGAGGGGGACAGGGAGGTGGGCAGGGAGGGGGACAGGAAGGGGGGCAGGGAATGGGGCAGGGAGGGGGGCAAGAAGGGAATCAGGGAGTGGAGCAGGGAGTGGGGACGGTCAGCTTGCCGGGGGAAAGCGCCAGTGGAGGGGGGCACTTCACGCTGTCACACCGCTGTGTGGCGGACGGGCCGGCAGGGCAGTGCAGCCTGTGCAGCATCGTTGCCAATTTTGCCAAAATGGTGGCCGCGCAGGGTGGGCTGGGGGGCGCGCAGGGTGGCCTGATGGGGGTTGCTGCTGGGGGAGGAGTGCCCGCTGCAAGCGATCTGAGGGGAAGTGGTGGTGGGGGAGAGGTGGCTGTGCCGAGTGAAGGAAGGGGGTGTGGTGGGGGAGATGTACGCAGGTCGGGAGGACGAGGGGGGAGTGGTGGTGGAGGGGAGGAGGGGGTGGGCGGTGAGGTTGAAGGGGGGGAGACGGGAGAGGCGGGAGAGGGGAGAGAGGCGGGAGAGGGGAGAGAGGCGGGAGAGGGGAGAGAGACGGGAGAGGGGAGAGAGGTGAGGCCAGGGGGATGTGGAAAGGGACGGGGGGCTGGAGAAAGAGGGGAGGGTGTAGAAGGAGGGGGGAATGGGGGAGGGGGTGGTGGAGAGGAACAGAGGGTTGGAGGAGGGGAGGGTGGAGTGTTGGGCGGCACAGGTTGGTTGGGAGGCATGGCAGGACTGCAGCTGCTTGGGCATCGCGTGCAGGAGTTTGTCGGAAGAGAGAGCCTGGAAGCAGTCAATGCGAGTCAACAGATGGCCAGCACTGGTCAACAGGCAGTCAATGCTGGTCAAGGGGCGGTGAACATGCGCCAATCAGCAGTGAATCAAGGTCCATGGGAAAATGTGGGTGCAGGGCAAGGGGCAGTCAATGCTGGTCAAGAAGCAGTCAACGCAGGTCAATGGGCAGTGAACGCAGGTCACGCGGGGGTGGGCGGCAATCCAGTGGTGGTCAACGGCATTCAATGCAAGTGCCGTGAGTGTCTGGTTGCTACATTGGCGGCCAGAATACGTGAAGGAGCTGTCAATCTGAGTCAAGCAGCAGTTAATCCAAGTCACGCAGAAGTCAATCCAATTCAAGCAGCAGTCTATGTGGCGAGTCAACTAGTGGCCAATGCGGATCCAAGGAGGAGAGTGGCAGCGAATCAGGTGGAGACAGCTGTCGGTCAACGAGGATTTAATGCAGGTCGTGCAGTCAATGCTGGTCAAGCGCCAGTCCACGCTGGTCAAGCACCAGTCAACGTGGGTCAAGCACCAGTCAACGCTGGTCAAGCACCAGTCAACGCTGGTCAAGCACCAGTCAACGCTGGTCAAGCACCAGTCAACATTGGTCAAGCACCAATCAATTTTGGTCTTTGGGCTAATAATGCAGGTGGAGGGGTGGGTCAAGGCAGAACAGAGGGAGGAGTGGAAGGAAGAGGAGGGGCTTGGAGGGAATCAACGATTGTGGAACTGCTGCAGCTGCTGCTGCAAGGCAAGGCGAAGGGAAGGAGCGGGGCTGTGGCGAGGGGACAGGGGGAGAACAGCGGGCAAAGAGTGGAGCAGGGAGGGCAGCAGGGCGAGGAGCAGGGAAGGAAGCAGGGAGGGTGGCAGGGAGGGGGGCAGGGAGGGGGACAGGGAGCGGGACAGGCAGGGAGCAGGGAGGGGAAGAGAGGAGCAGGGACGGGGCAGGGCGGGAGGGACGGGAGCAGGGACGGGAGCAGGGACGGGAGCAGGGACGGGAGCAGGGACGGGAGCAGGGACGGGAGCAGGGACGGGAGCAGGGACGGGAGCAGGGACGGGAGCAGGGACGGGAGCAGGGACGGGAGCAGGGACGGGAGCAGGGACGGGAGCAGGGACGGGAGCAGGGACGGGAGCAGGGACGGGAGCAGGGACGGGAGCAGGGACGGGAGCAGGGACGGGAGCAGGGACGGGAGCAGGGACGGGAGCAGGGACGGGAGCAGGGACGGGAGCAGGGACGGGAGCAGGGACGGGAGCAGGGACGGGAGCAGGGACGGGAGCAGGGACGGGAGCAGGGACGGGAGCAGGGACGGGAGCAGGGACGGGAGCAGGGACGGGAGCAGGGACGGGAGCAGGGACGGGAGCAGGGACGGGAGCAGGGACGGGAGCAGGGACGGGAGCAGGGACGGGAGCAGGGACGGGAGCAGGGACGGGAGCAGGGACGGGAGCAGGGACGGGAGCAGGGACGGGAGCAGGGACGGGAGCAGGGACGGGAGCAGGGACGGGAGCAGGGACGGGAGCAGGGACGGGAGCAGGGACGGGAGCAGGGACGGGAGCAGGGACGGGAGCAGGGACGGGAGCAGGGACGGGAGCAGGGACGGGAGCAGGGACGGGAGCAGGGACGGGAGCAGGGACGGGAGCAGGGACGGGAGCAGGGACGGGAGCAGGGACGGGAGCAGGGACGGGAGCAGGGACGGGAGCAGGGACGGGAGCAGGGACGGGAGCAGGGACGGGAGCAGGGACGGGAGCAGGGACGGGAGCAGGGACGGGAGCAGGGACGGGAGCAGGGACGGGAGCAGGGACGGGAGCAGGGACGGGAGCAGGGACGGGAGCAGGGACGGGAGCAGGGACGGGAGCAGGGACGGGAGCAGGGACGGGAGCAGGGACGGGAGCAGGGACGGGAGCAGGGACGGGAGCAGGGACGGGAGCAGGGACGGGAGCAGGGACGGGAGCAGGGACGGGAGCAGGGACGGGAGCAGGGACGGGAGCAGGGACGGGAGCAGGGACGGGAGCAGGGACGGGAGCAGGGACGGGAGCAGGGACGGGAGCAGGGACGGGAGCAGGGACGGGAGCAGGGACGGGAGCAGGGACGGGAGCAGGGACGGGAGCAGGGACGGGAGCAGGGACGGGAGCAGGGACGGGAGCAGGGACGGGAGCAGGGACGGGAGCAGGGACGGGAGCAGGGACGGGAGCAGGGACGGGAGCAGGGACGGGAGCAGGGACGGGAGCAGGGACGGGAGCAGGGACGGGAGCAGGGACGGGAGCAGGGACGGGAGCAGGGACGGGAGCAGGGACGGGAGCAGGGACGGGAGCAGGGACGGGAGCAGGGACGGGAGCAGGGACGGGAGCAGGGACGGGAGCAGGGACGGGAGCAGGGACGGGAGCAGGGACGGGAGCAGGGACGGGAGCAGGGACGGGAGCAGGGACGGGAGCAGGGACGGGAGCAGGGACGGGAGCAGGGACGGGAGCAGGGACGGGAGCAGGGACGGGAGCAGGGACGGGAGCAGGGACGGGAGCAGGGACGGGAGCAGGGACGGGAGCAGGGACGGGAGCAGGGACGGGAGCAGGGACGGGAGCAGGGACGGGAGCAGGGACGGGAGCAGGGACGGGAGCAGGGACGGGAGCAGGGACGGGAGCAGGGACGGGAGCAGGGACGGGAGCAGGGACGGGAGCAGGGACGGGAGCAGGGACGGGAGCAGGGACGGGAGCAGGGACGGGAGCAGGGACGGGAGCAGGGACGGGAGCAGGGACGGGAGCAGGGACGGGAGCAGGGACGGGAGCAGGGACGGGAGCAGGGACGGGAGCAGGGACGGGAGCAGGGACGGGAGCAGGGACGGGAGCAGGGACGGGAGCAGGGACGGGAGCAGGGACGGGAGCAGGGACGGGAGCAGGGACGGGAGCAGGGACGGGAGCAGGGACGGGAGCAGGGACGGGAGCAGGGACGGGAGCAGGGACGGGAGCAGGGACGGGAGCAGGGACGGGAGCAGGGACGGGAGCAGGGACGGGAGCAGGGACGGGAGCAGGGACGGGAGCAGGGACGGGAGCAGGGACGGGAGCAGGGACGGGAGCAGGGACGGGAGCAGGGACGGGAGCAGGGACGGGAGCAGGGACGGGAGCAGGGACGGGAGCAGGGACGGGAGCAGGGACGGGAGCAGGGACGGGAGCAGGGACGGGAGCAGGGACGGGAGCAGGGACGGGAGCAGGGACGGGAGCAGGGACGGGAGCAGGGACGGGAGCAGGGACGGGAGCAGGGACGGGAGCAGGGACGGGAGCAGGGACGGGAGCAGGGACGGGAGCAGGGACGGGAGCAGGGACGGGAGCAGGGACGGGAGCAGGGACGGGAGCAGGGACGGGAGCAGGGACGGGAGCAGGGACGGGAGCAGGGACGGGAGCAGGGACGGGAGCAGGGACGGGAGCAGGGACGGGAGCAGGGACGGGAGCAGGGACGGGAGCAGGGACGGGAGCAGGGACGGGAGCAGGGACGGGAGCAGGGACGGGAGCAGGGACGGGAGCAGGGACGGGAGCAGGGACGGGAGCAGGGACGGGAGCAGGGACGGGAGCAGGGACGGGAGCAGGGACGGGAGCAGGGACGGGAGCAGGGACGGGAGCAGGGACGGGAGCAGGGACGGGAGCAGGGACGGGAGCAGGGACGGGAGCAGGGACGGGAGCAGGGACGGGAGCAGGGACGGGAGCAGGGACGGGAGCAGGGACGGGAGCAGGGACGGGAGCAGGGACGGGAGCAGGGACGGGAGCAGGGACGGGAGCAGGGACGGGAGCAGGGACGGGAGCAGGGACGGGAGCAGGGACGGGAGCAGGGACGGGAGCAGGGACGGGAGCAGGGACGGGAGCAGGGACGGGAGCAGGGACGGGAGCAGGGACGGGAGCAGGGACGGGAGCAGGGACGGGAGCAGGGACGGGAGCAGGGACGGGAGCAGGGACGGGAGCAGGGACGGGAGCAGGGACGGGAGCAGGGACGGGAGCAGGGACGGGAGCAGGGACGGGAGCAGGGACGGGAGCAGGGACGGGAGCAGGGACGGGAGCAGGGACGGGAGCAGGGACGGGAGCAGGGACGGGAGCAGGGACGGGAGCAGGGACGGGAGCAGGGACGGGAGCAGGGACGGGAGCAGGGACGGGAGCAGGGACGGGAGCAGGGACGGGAGCAGGGACGGGAGCAGGGACGGGAGCAGGGACGGGAGCAGGGACGGGAGCAGGGACGGGAGCAGGGACGGGAGCAGGGACGGGAGCAGGGACGGGAGCAGGGACGGGAGCAGGGACGGGAGCAGGGACGGGAGCAGGGACGGGAGCAGGGACGGGAGCAGGGACGGGAGCAGGGACGGGAGCAGGGACGGGAGCAGGGACGGGAGCAGGGACGGGAGCAGGGACGGGAGCAGGGACGGGAGCAGGGACGGGAGCAGGGACGGGAGCAGGGACGGGAGCAGGGACGGGAGCAGGGACGGGAGCAGGGACGGGAGCAGGGACGGGAGCAGGGACGGGAGCAGGGACGGGAGCAGGGACGGGAGCAGGGACGGGAGCAGGGACGGGAGCAGGGACGGGAGCAGGGACGGGAGCAGGGACGGGAGCAGGGACGGGAGCAGGGACGGGAGCAGGGACGGGAGCAGGGACGGGAGCAGGGACGGGAGCAGGGACGGGAGCAGGGACGGGAGCAGGGACGGGAGCAGGGACGGGAGCAGGGACGGGAGCAGGGACGGGAGCAGGGACGGGAGCAGGGACGGGAGCAGGGACGGGAGCAGGGACGGGAGCAGGGACGGGAGCAGGGACGGGAGCAGGGACGGGAGCAGGGACGGGAGCAGGGACGGGAGCAGGGACGGGAGCAGGGACGGGAGCAGGGACGGGAGCAGGGACGGGAGCAGGGACGGGAGCAGGGACGGGAGCAGGGACGGGAGCAGGGACGGGAGCAGGGACGGGAGCAGGGACGGGAGCAGGGACGGGAGCAGGGACGGGAGCAGGGACGGGAGCAGGGACGGGAGCAGGGACGGGAGCAGGGACGGGAGCAGGGACGGGAGCAGGGACGGGAGCAGGGACGGGAGCAGGGACGGGAGCAGGGACGGGAGCAGGGACGGGAGCAGGGACGGGAGCAGGGACGGGAGCAGGGACGGGAGCAGGGACGGGAGCAGGGACGGGAGCAGGGACGGGAGCAGGGACGGGAGCAGGGACGGGAGCAGGGACGGGAGCAGGGACGGGAGCAGGGACGGGAGCAGGGACGGGAGCAGGGACGGGAGCAGGGACGGGAGCAGGGACGGGAGCAGGGACGGGAGCAGGGACGGGAGCAGGGACGGGAGCAGGGACGGGAGCAGGGACGGGAGCAGGGACGGGAGCAGGGACGGGAGCAGGGACGGGAGCAGGGACGGGAGCAGGGACGGGAGCAGGGACGGGAGCAGGGACGGGAGCAGGGACGGGAGCAGGGACGGGAGCAGGGACGGGAGCAGGGACGGGAGCAGGGACGGGAGCAGGGACGGGAGCAGGGACGGGAGCAGGGACGGGAGCAGGGACGGGAGCAGGGACGGGAGCAGGGACGGGAGCAGGGACGGGAGCAGGGACGGGAGCAGGGACGGGAGCAGGGACGGGAGCAGGGACGGGAGCAGGGACGGGAGCAGGGACGGGAGCAGGGACGGGAGCAGGGACGGGAGCAGGGACGGGAGCAGGGAGGGGGGGAGGGAGGGGAGCAGGGAGGGGAGAAGGGAGGGGAGCAGGGACGGGAGAAGGGAGGGGAGCAGGGACGGGAGCAGGGAGGGGAGCAGGGAGGGGGGCAGAGAGGGGAGAAGGGAGGGAAGCAGGGAGGGGATGAGAGAGTGGGAACGGTCAACATGCCGGGGGGGAGCGGCAGTGGAGGGGGCTACTTCACGGTGTCGCACCGCTGTGTGGCGGACGGGCCGGCAGGGCAGTGCAGCCTGTGCAGCATCATGGCCGATTTTGTCCGAGTGGTAGGCGCCCAGGGTGGCTTGGGGGGGTTTGCTGCTGGGGGAGGAGTGCCAGCAGCAGGTGACCTGAGGGGAAGTGGTGGTAGGGCAGAGGTGGGTGTGGCGAGTGAAGGAGGAGGGGGTACCGTGGGAGAGATGCGCTTGTCGGTGGGGGGAGGGGTGAGAGGTGGTGGAGGGGCAGAGGGGATGGGGGTTTCGGGTGAGGGGGGGGAGGTGAGGGCAGAGGTGGGTGGAGAGGGACGGGGGGATGGAGAAGGAAGGGGGGACGGAGAGGGACAGGGGGATAAAGATGAAGATACACGAACTTCCCGCTCAGAAGCCGCCAGTGCAGGTCAAGGGGCGGCCAGTGCAGGTCAAGGGGCTGCTTCGCGTGTAGGGGAGGATGTGCATGGTGCTCGGGAAACGAGTGAGGGCGAGGGGTTGAGTGAGGGGAGGGGAATCATGTGTGTGAGTGATGGGGTTATCGTGCTTCAGGACAGAGATGTGATTATGGCGGAGGCAGGTGCTTCTGAGGGGGAAGGGGATGTGACTATGGGGGAAGCGGGTGTGACGAGGGGGGAAGCAGATGTGACTATGGGGGAAGCGGATGTGACTATGGGGGAAACGGACATGAGTGTGACGGGAGGGGACCTCACTATGGGGAAAGGGACAACAACTGTGGGGGGAGGGGGCATCAATGGAACGGAAGGAGAGCCCAGTGGAAAGGAGGGAGAAATGAGCGGGATGGAGGGAGAGACGAGTGGGAAGGAGGGGGAAACGAGTGGAAGGAAGGGAGAGACGCATGGGAAGGAGATAGAGGCTAATGGGAAAGAGGGAGAGACGAGTTGGAAAGAGCGAGAGACGAGTGGGAAGGAGGGAGAGACGAGTGGGAAGGAGGGAGAGACGAGTGGGAAGGAGGGAGAGACGAGTGGGAAAGAGGGAGAGATGATGAGTGGGAAAGAGGAAGTCGATGTTATGGGAAATGGCGATATCACTGCAAAGGGAGGAGAGAAGAAAGGGGGCATGAGTGCAGGGGAAGGTGAGGTGCAAGTGGTTGCACAGGCAGGCTGGGAAGGTCGCTTGATTGTCAATGAGGGTCAACAAGGGTCAGGGAGCAGTCAAAGGGGAAGTGATTCTGGTGAGATGGCTGTCAACGAGGGTCAAGGAGCAGTCAACGAGGGTCGAGGTGTAGAGGGTGCAAGTCGAAGGGTTACAACAAGTGAGGGTCAAATGCCAGTCAGGAAGAGTCAACGTGCAGTCAATGGTGGTCAAGAAGTGAGCAGCGACGGTGAGAGTAGTGGGGGAATGCTGAATGAGCGTTCAGCAGAAGGCCATGCAAGTCAGACACAGGAGGGTTGAGGTGAAGGGAAGGGGGCAGGGGTTGAAAGGAATCAAGGGCAGGTCATACCGACTGATGTGGTGTGTATGGGTTGGATGAGGTGGAGTGGGAAGTCGATGCAGGCACGGACTGAAATTGTAGTGAGGTGGTGGGTGGGGGGCATTTAGTCAGCCAGGGCAGGGATGTGTGATGTGGACTGCTGATGTGAGGCGAAGTTCATTTGATGGTCTGATTTTGCGACCTAATATACTTTCAATGAAAGGACTTCAACTCAAATGATGTGCAGTGAGCATTTCAAAATATGGTGGCCACATTGTTTTATGTGGCAAGCCATGTGAGTTTCCACACCCCGCTTGAACTCATTATAATTTCTTATGTTTCCACACTACATTAATATATCGAAACAAAGTATATCGCACTAATTGTTGCTGTGGACTGCTGATGTCAGCGCCTGAGACCATCATCACCATCCTATGCTAAATGGTGGCCACGCCTTCAGCCATGGCGAGGCCGAGCGAGTCCTGCGACACTTTGACGTACTCCACGCGCAGGTACGGCAGCGAGGGCAGCGATAATGGGATGGAAGGGTTGTCTGGGGGGGGGATGACCCCCGATGTCAGTGCCTGATGGGGGGGTGATGGGGTGGGGGAGGAAACGAGGGGATGGGGATGGGGGAGAGGAAGGAATGATTTGTGATGTGGAGGCCCAAGAGCACCTCGTACCGTGCTGTGTCGCATGGTATGGTGGCCTCGCCTTCAGCCATGGTGAGGCCCAGTGATTCCACCCGCAGGTACGGCAGCGAGAGCGGGATGGAGGGGTTGTCTGGGGGAGGGATGACCCCCGATGTCAGCGCCTGATAAGGCTGGGGGGGAAGGGGGAAAGGAGGGAGATGATGGGGCTGATGGGGTGGGGGAGAAGAGGAGGGGGAGGGGGAGGATAGACCCCAGATGTTAGTGCATGATGGGTTGGGAGGGACAACTTGCAAGGTTAGTTGCTGATGGACGTCCGTGATAGGTTAGGGAGGGAAGGTTGACTGCTCATGCTAGCGCCTGGCAGTTGAGCCATATACGCACGTCACACTTCTTCCCCCTTGTAGCCCTCACCTCTGTTCCACCCACCTCTGTTCCACCCACCTCTGTTACACTCACCTCTGTTACACTCACCTCTGTTACACTCACCTCTGTTACACTCACCTCTGTTACACTCACCTCTGTTACACTCACCTGCTCCACCTGCTCACCATTCACCATTCGTTGAGCACTCATCTCTGTAAGAACCTGTGATGCAACTCTCTTTCTACACTCCTCACCCTAACACCGTCGCCACACTCACCCCTATGAGCGCCGCACTCACCCCTATGAGCGCCTGCCCGCTTATTAGGGTGGCAGGAATGGCGTCGCTGCAGTTGCCCTCCCACGGACTTGGCTTGCCTGACGGCCCTACACTGAGAACCACCCACTCCTTGCCGTCCTTGTGCGTCAATCTGCGGTGGAGAGCGGTGGAGAGGGGCAGCGAGGGGTGGAGAGGGGCAGAGTGGGGTGAAATGCGGCAGAATGGGTATCAATGTGCACAAGGAAATTCCCTCAAGGCTACCTACTTGTTCTCATCCCTGTGTGACCATGTCCAGGGTTAATAGAGGTAAAGAGGGTTGCTGGGGATGAAGGGCTTTACATTGTGGTTACAGTTGGATAAGGCACTTCTTTTTCTCTCGGTGTGTTACATCGTGGGGTGACCGAAGGTAGAAAGGGATGCAGTGCTGTTCAGTGGGTGGGAATGGAAATGATATGGTGCTTGTGACAAGGCGCCAGGGATGGGATGTGGAGTGGAACTAAAGGCTGAAGAGAGTTATATCTACATGTGAAGTAAGACACGTCGCTAATATGTTCTCACAAAATTGTTTGGTCGGCATGCAGGCTTGCTTGTTTACCTTAGAACGTCTTCCGACTCTGCTTGTAGTGCTGCGTCCTTGTAATGGTTGTGCTTACTGCACTCATAATCATCCACACACAAATTCACACGTAAACATTTGGTCTCTCACACACACAGATAGGTTGTGCGAGAATGCACATCCACCACACAGATACGCACATAGACACAGACACAGACAAGCACACACCCTCCCACTCACACACAACATCCCCTACCCCTCACCAAACACACACACACACACACACACACGCAGAGCCACACAACACACGCACAACACACACACACACACGCGCACGCACGCACACTCACACACACACACACACACACACACACACACAACGTTCGTGCACGAACGCACGCACGTGCACACACACAATCACACACACAAACACACAGAGAACATCAATCGCTGATGATCACTCTACAAGTGTGTGGAATTGCCGATCAACTGCAGTTGCATGAGGTGCGAACCCGTCAAGTGCGAACCCGTCAAGTGCGAACCCATGACCGGATTGAATTTGACATAAGATGACATGTAAGTGGTGAATTCCCTTCTTCCGTGCGCCATTTCAAGCCCCCAAGAAAGATTTGACAATTGCTAGTGTGGGGTGGGCCCCACCAGTGAGTGCTACCAGTGTGTGTTAAAGGGGGCCCCAGTGCCTCACCATAGCTGCACGAGTTTGGCAATCTCTATAAAGCAATCCGTGAACTTGACTTTAAGCAGAATCATGCCGCCCACTGTCTTGATGTTCTGATTGGCAGGAGGCATAGGTTGGAGGGCAGGGGAGGATGAGATGATGAGAGCGAAGAGCGGATGAGAGGGAGGCGAGTGGACTTGAGTTTGAGCAGAATCATGCCACCCACTGTCTTGATGTTCTGATGCCAAGGCCACAGAGGTGAGTGGGGAATAAGATGTGCAGGGCACGCCAGAAATGGGAGAAAGGTGACTTTGGTGTTGACTGGAAGACAGGTAGGGAGGCAGGCAGGCAGGCAGACGCACGGAGTAGTATGCATGGTGTGGAAAGAAGAGAGTGGTGGTAACGGGTGATAAGGGGTGCCAGGGTGGTAAGGGGGTGGTGAGCGGGTGCAACAGGGTTGTAAAGTGGTAAATTAAACCTAGTCTTACAGCCGGCTCTAAGACAGTTAGGAGGCAAGCAGGCAACTGCATCGAGTACGGATGGCATTACCACAGAACCACCGGATTACTCAACAAGTGTGAAGGTGGTTGGTTTGATGACGACAAGTGAGGGAGGGTAGGAGAGAATGAGTGGCAGGCGGCACTAGAAATTGCAGCACGTATGAAAACACCAAGTCGGGTAAAGCCGAATGAAACACAGCCCGTGAGAAGGGGAAGCGGGATTGTGGAGACAGTGTGAGGGTGGATGAGAGGGAGGAGTGGGAGGAGGGGGAGGAGGGAGATGAATGGGAAGAGAAAGGAAACGTACGAAAATAAAAGGGGCGTTGGTGGCAGGCCGGTGCTTCGCAGTGCCCTGAAGGGGGAGGGAAGGAAATGGGGAGAGGAGAGGGATGGAAGCGGAACGATGAGAGGGATGGGGGTGGGATGATGAAGCGAGGGATGGGGTTGGGACGATGAGGAGAGGGATGGGGATGGGAGGATGAGGAGAGGGATGGGGATGGGAGGATGAGGAGAGGGATGGAGATGGGAGGATGAGGAGAGGGATGGGAATGGGAGGATGAGGAGAGGGATGGGGATGGGAGGATGAGGAGAGGGATAGGGGCGGGAGGATGAGGAGAGGGATAGGGGCGGGAGGATGAGGAGAGGGATAGGGGCGGGAGGAGATGGCGCAGTGCAGTGGGACGGCATGGGGGAAAGCAGATGGTGCAGGGAGGGGACGTGGGGTGGGGAGGGCAAACAGTGAGATGGCGTGAGAATGTGGGGAGGGTAGTGAAAGGACAGCTGGACACAGACAGCAAAGTGAGGGATGGGTGGGGGTGTAACGAGATGGCGTGGTGAGTGTTTTGAGACGTCTCAAAACACTCCTTTTTTCACGTGGCGTGGAGAGTGTGTGCGGAGTTAGGGGAAGGTATTGGGATGGTGTGGTGCGGAGAGACGCTAGGGACGGTGGAAGTGTGAGAGGGGAAGAGATCGACACAGGAAGCAAGAGAGCTGCAGACTGGCTGGCAGTGTTGGCTGGCAGTGTTGGATGGAGACCATGGCTTGACAACTCTCAGAGCGAGTTACGGCACTTAAACTGAACTGCTGACGACATACTCTTTTTAGGGCGAACAGGAAGAGGTGCCTGGGGGGTGCGAGGACGAATTTGACTGGAAGTGAATTGATCCAATGAGGCTAACAGGAGTTAACTGGAAAGGATTGAGTGGAGCTGACGTACCGCTTTCTCTGCGATGTATCTGCATTTTCACGGCACAGTGGAAGAGACATGCACAGGCAGTGTCGGAAGGGCGGAAGCAGCACAGAAGCAGAGTGAGTAACAGCGTAACCAGGAGACAATCTTTCAGGAAGGCTCAGACGGGCGCGAAGTTTGATGCAAGGCTCACTTGCTCCTGAGAGACCTGCGGTTCTAGAGCTACTCCTGTGAAGAATGTTTGGGTGAACATAGCTCGGTGTAGAGGCGTTCACTCCGGCGACATGAGAGTGAACTCGTTCTGAGATGCCTAAAAACGAATCAACTTTCAAGTGGCGCCCCCAGGAAAATCTTGTGAGTGTTGGGAAGCTGCGGTTCACTCAGACCAGCCGGCGCGAGTGGAGTGCTTCCACTATGAACTCATAACTTGACGCGCACTGCCCCTGCCCGCACTCCGCGCACTGCCCCTACCCGCTCTGCGCGCATCGCCCCTGCCCGCGCTCCGCGCACTGCCCCTACCCGCTCTGCGCGCACTTCCCCTGCCCGCTCTGCGCGCACTGCCCCTGCCCGCACTGCCCGCGTTGCTCGCCTGGCCGCTCCGCACGCTCTGCGCACACTCCTCGCACTGCTCGCATTGCCCGCACACTGACGCGTTAAATCTACACATCATCGTAAACGCACGCTAGAAGCGCGTATCATATTGAAGCGAGGCGAGCTCGCTCACCGCGATCGGACGAGGAAGAGGACGAAGGCGATGAGCGACACGATGCACATGGTCCACGCGAGGCACGGAATCGACAATCGCGACGACCGCGAGGGCGGTTTCCGGCCCTTGGATCGCTGCAGCAGCTCGGAGGGCTTCATCCGAGCCATTGAAACCGTGGAACTAAACTGTAAGTGCTCGAGGTAGTGACGAGACGACAGACGCAGCGCTCGAGGCAATCTGGACTCGGACTAGAGGACACTTCGGAAAAACCTACGGCGAACAGGCGAGAGGGGAGGGGGTATATAGTATAGGTTGAAACAGTATTAACGTTCATGTACAGAGCTTATATATCAACAATTTGTAACTATGATTTGCGATTAAAGGTTCTTATGTATTCACTTCATAGCACATGAAATTCTCCATGGGCGGATGCGCCCTACTTGGGGGATATGCGGGTGTAGAGGTTTAGGGTGGTGTTAGATAACTTTAAGTAAGCTCGTCGTAGTGCGTCCCCTACGGTTTGTGCTTTTTTGTGTCATCTTTTTCATCATATTGACGTGCTCTCACCGTCCCCTTGCCTTCCCCACTTTGAATTAAGTTTATAGGTATGTAATGCACCGCAATGCATACATAATATCAAGTTGAGTAGTTATGTACCTGCAAGGTATACACTAAAAACATCCTTCGAAACACAACGCGTTCCATTAGTCAGATAATCGGGTTACCCCAGCGGAACGCGATCCAGGAGTCAAGCAATGCGACTTACCGTACCGAAACGCATGGTACAAGTTAGAACCATAGGACTTTGTTTCCGAATGCCAATTGCACCGAGCATCTGTTGCATTCACGAATCGTCATTACAGCTAGAGCGCCTGCGAATTCATTATGCGCGACACCGTCAATAAAAAATTCCAACCCACATCCCCGTACCTCCCGCCAATCTCAATCATTCACTCCAACGCCTTTGCCATTTCGATATTTTACCTCTCCAGTTCCCTGTTACAAGTACGAAAGTGCAGCTTTGAAGTTTTTCACGCTGTATCTTCAAGCGCCTTGCGTTGTGTCATAGCACTCTGAGCCCCTTAAAATCGGCAGCACAAGCGACGTCATCACTATCCATGGCGGCGGACACACCTAACAGCGGGATCAGCGGCGACACCATCGGCAATAGCGGTAACGTCTCCAAAACACAAGCGCGGCGACACCGTCGGCATCAGCCGCTCTCGAGTACGTCTTGAGTTGGTAGATATCTCTGTTGAGAACACCTTGCGCGAATTGCTCCCCCTTCTAAAAGAGGTTCATCTTCGCACCGTCGATGGTGGCGATCATGCCCTTCTTCGCAAGTTGCGAGACGGATATCAGGTTCACTGTCGGAGTGAAAGGCCCCGCCCTCGCTTGGGCGCAGGTGTCAAGATTCTAGGCAAGAATGAATGCATTGAAAGGAGAACAAGAGTACAAGTACCTAACCCTAATGGGGTTGTACCCTATATTGTCTACCCCACTACAGCCTACCAACACATTATAATTTAACACACCCCCATAGGCAAAGTGGGGGAGAACAAGGGGTCACAAGACCAGTCCAGCAAAGCAAAGCAAGCCCAGGGTGGATCACAACGTCACCACACTCTGAACACAAGCAAAGGCCACAAGGCCAGTTCACATGCAGAGCTATATATATAGAACAAGACAAGCAACACAGTGATCAAAACCTAGCAAGCAAGCAGCGATATATATAAATCACAGTACAAAGAAAGTCAAGCAGTAAGCAAATGAGGTAATGTGGACACAAGGCCTAACGCAGTACAGTGCCGCTGATGATCACTAGGCGGAAGCGCCTTGGTGAAGACATCAGCAGTGTTGGCCTTCGAGTCCACGTACACAAGACGAAGCTGACCACGCTGCTGCAGCTCTCGAGCAAGAAAGTAGCGAAGAGCAATGTGCTTCGTTCTGTGCTCCAGTCTGTGCTCCTGACACAAGGCAAGGGCCGCCTTGTTGTCTCCGTACAGAACTGGAGGAGAACTAGGCCGCTCTCCCAAGTCAGTCAGCAGGTAGGTGAGCCAGCGTAACTCCTGTGCAGCCATGGCCGTGGCGTAGATCTCAGCCTCACAACTAGAGCTGAGAACAGAAGAAGAGCGGGTGGACCGCCAAGAGACAGAACCAGAGCCAAGGCTGAAAGTGTAACCCTGTGACGACCGCTGCGTAGCCAGGTCGTCCACCCAAGAAGCGTCTGAGTGACCAGTGAGGGCAACTCTGTCGCGTCCTCCAAGCACCAGCCCCATGCCTGATGTACTGCACAAGTAGCGCAGCACCCTCTTAGCAGCCTCCTAGTGCTCTCGCCTGTGTCTCCCAGGCGCAACGTAACGAGCAAGGATGCTAAGAGGGTACGCGAGGTCAGGTCGCGTGCAAGTCATCAAGTACATGAGGCAGCCTACAAGCTCTGGGTACGGGCCACTCGGCTCTACGGACTCGTCCGAAGGTGGAGCTGAGAGCGAGTGACTGGTAGCCAGAGGTGTGGCCTGTGGTGAGGAGAACTGGAAGCAGAAGCGCTGAAGGACCTGCTGCACCATGTGTGACTGAGTCAGGGTAATGGTGCGGCGTGCTCTGTCCCGGGTGATCTGCAAGCCAAGGTAGCTACGCAGCTCTCCCAGGTCAGTGCAGGTGTGTCTCTTCTGCAGCTCCGACTTCACACGAGCGAGTGCCTCAGTGTCAGCAGTAGCAAAGACCAAGTCGTCGACGTACACGAGGATGTAAAACGGCGGCAGCGACGTGTCTGTGCGCAGGAACAGTGACGGGTCAGCAGTGGAAGGAGCAAACCCAAGGGCCGCAAGTGTAGTCCTCAGTGTGTCGTGCCACTCGCGCGGCGCCTGGCGGAGACCGTAGACTGGCCGCCGAAGGCTCCACTGGGTACCAGGAGGGAAAAGTCGCAGTGAAGCCAGGAGGGCGGCGCAGCCAGATCTCCTCGTGGAGGCTGCCCTGCAAGAAAGCTGTGCTGAAGTCAAGAGAGTGCAGCTCGTAGTCACGCTGAGCAGCAACGTGCAGCAACACCCGAAGAGTAGTCATCTTCGGGGTGGGGGAGAAGGTCTGAAAGAAGTCAACTCCCTGTCGCTGACTGAAACCTCTAGCAACGTAACGAGCTTTGAAGACAGGCGGAGAACCCGGCGGCCGCTTCACCCTGAAAATCCACATGCCATCGACGATGTTCGCCCCTGGAGGGGGAACCTCGTCGACGTAGGTGCCTGTGGACTTCCAAGATGCCATCTCTGCGTCCATGGCTGTCTGCCACTGAGAGGAGTAGGGACCCGAGATCGCCTCTGCGTAAGAGCGCGGAGTGGGGATGTCTAGCGCATCCGGGTCTCCCTCAGGGGCAAGCAGCCAGGCCACGAGATGAGGTACAGCAGCCGCAAGAGAGTCAAAGTCCTCCTGCCTGTCCTCAAGGACGTCCGTGCCAAGAGCACACTCACCCCCGACGGACGGAGGACAGACAGACTCAGACTCAGCAACAAGACTGGCAGTGTAGTCTAGACGATAGACAACAGCAAAGTCAACAAGCTCAGCGACCAGGGCAGACGCAGCAGCCGACTCAAAAGACGGGTCAGTGACAGCAGTGGCTAACAGACGCGTGACGGTAGGGTGCTCAGCACGAAAACGGTCAGACGCAGGGTCCGGAACGTCAGGCAAAGAAGACGCAGGAGGAGACGGCAGAGGAACCGACTGTGGTACAGAGGAGGGACGACGGACGACAAGGCGAGAACCAGCAACAGGCGGCGAACGCTGGTGCGAGACGCGGCGAGCGGAACGACCAGAACGAACAGGCGAGACAGGACGCGACGCAGGCTCACGACGCTCAGTAAGACCCCCTGACTGCTCAGTGTAAGGAGAAGGAGCAGGCAAGGGCGAGCCAGGCAGTAACGGAAGACCAGTAGAAGACGGAAGACTAAGAACCTGGCGAAGGACAGAGTCAGACGGCGGCAGAGACGACGGCGACGGCGGAGCGAAGAACAGGCGCGACTGTACAGTACCGCCAGCACCAGCAGCTCCAGCACCTCCAGCGACACCACCACCCCCAGTGTCAGCTCCTCCAGGACTGTCCCCACTAGCAGCAGCACCCCCAGAACCAGCACCTCCAGTCCCAGGGTCTCCAGTCGCAGCGTCCCCAGCGGTAGAACCTTTAGACACAGCACCACCAGCCCCAGCAGCTCGAGTACCAGCGGTACGAGCACCTCCGGGACCAGCGACGGGAGTACCTCCAGGAGACAACGAACCAGCACCACTCTCAGCTCCAGGGGCGGCAGTAGAGGCACCACCAACAGCAGAGCCCGGAGCTCCAGGAGGGCGACGCTGACGGCGACCGAACCAGTCGTGCAGCTGCTGGGAGGTGAGAGGAACACGCGAACGAAGGCGGCCAGTCCAGGGCGCAGCCTCCACTGGCGACGCACCCCCAGACTCAGCACCCCCAGACGCAGCACACCCAGACCCCTCAAGCACAGGCTCAGCTCCCTCAGACGGAGCACCGCGACAACGAGCAGCTCCAGCTCCTCCAGTACCTCCAGCTCCAGTGTCTCCAGCTCCAGTGGCACCAGGCTCAGGACCTCCAGAACAACCAGCTCCGGCAGCCGCAGTACCTCCAGGACTAGCACCCCCAGAACCAGCAGCTGCAGCACCGCCAGAACCTCCAGCACCAGTGTCCCCAGTCTCAGCGCCTCCAGCTCCAGCTGCACCACGCGGAAGGCGAAAGCGCCGGACGTACCACTCACGGAGCTGCCGCTGTGTGAGAGGCTCCCGGAGAGGCGACTCAACACCCTGAGCACCCCCAGACGCAGCAACTCGAGGCACAGCACCCCCAGGCCCCGCACCCACGGTCCCAGCACCCCCAGGCTCCGCACCCTCAGGCTCAGCACCCCCAGGCTCTGCACCCCCAGGCTCAGCACCCCCAGGCTCAGCACCCCCAGGCACAACACCCCCAGGCTCAGCAACTCTAGCAGCACCACCCGCAGCAGCACCTGAGTCACCTGTGACCTCGACAGGCTCAGCGACGGGAGGAGGGTCTACCTGAGAGACACCTGAAGGAGCAGGACCCTGAGGGGGAAGGGGGTCTACCGGAGGGGGACCTGGAGCGAGGAAGAGCGGCGGAGGGGGGAGGGGGGCAGTGCGGTAGGGGAAGAGACGG